CTCGCGAGTGTTTCATTTAATATGTGTGTTTTAGTGTGTGTTTGTAGTGTAGCTATAAATAGACATTGTGCTTTGTAATTTTGGACATCACTCTCATTTCTCAACTTTTAAGTTGGGAAATCCTCTCAATTTTCTCTCTTTCACTTTTTTTATGCTTTGGTTGGAGATCCATGACTCTATTTTTCCGACGAAATTCTGACAATTTTATTTTCTATCAAGATTTGAGTTTTACGCACTATTTTCGTCTATGCATGCGATAGGGGAGTGTTGTAGCAAATTATTTTTATTTTTACCGAGAACCGAATCAAAAGATTCGTTCCCCGGGTCGATCTCTCAAGGAAGACGGTTCAGAATTTAGCATTGTTATTGATCACACACAAAAAGAAAATAAATCCTAAACATTCTAATCACGATTGATTTGGAGAGTTAACTAAAACAAGACAAAACTAGAAAAGCAATTTAAAGAAATAACAATTAAATTTCTAGAGAAAATGAAGAAGTTCTAGGGGTTGGGAAATCTCATCAAGTTTCAAACTATGTTGAATGATTATTTGTTCGGTTACGAGATTTAACAAGCCTACACGTCTAGAGGGCTATGCTCAATAACTCTTCGTAACAAGAGCACATACATAAACGATAAACTCATTCAAACAAGCAACACATAGACAATACGTTTCCGAACATGTCTACTCTATACGAGCCTAAATCGACCAACGCCTCCCCTCTCGGTTCTACACATTGATTAACTAGGTTAGAATGGTGATCAATCAACTAACCCTATAATTCACACAACTCGCATAGATTGAACAAAACACATTCCACATAATTCAAACAAGAATCAAAATCCCTAACCCTAGGTGAATGGATTACCTCATGCTTAGATTCAATCTCATGTTAACTGGAACTAAGAACATTAAACCAATCAACAATAATAAAATAGAATTGAAAAACTTACAATCGGATTAAGACTTGAAAGATTTCAATCCAAATGTCTTTGTGTCCAACAATCCAAGCATGAGAAAATAAAAAGAAAAGCGGAGAAAATTATCCTAACAATATTGAGTTTTTGGTGAGGAAACTTGAAAGGAACGATATTGAGGGTTGTTCCTTAGGTCTGGAGGTTCGATTTGATATATAGTGCGCGAAAAACGGAGCTAAAACGAGTAAAAACGAGCAAAAATAAAAACAGGGGTCGACAGGGTCGCGACTCGCGAGTTGACTCGCGAGTCGCGAGTCAACTCGCGAGTCGCGAGTCAGACGGGTCGGGGCCGCTGGTAGGCGCTGTTAAAGTCGCGAGTCGCGACTTTTCTCTCCCGAGTCGCGACATGAACTCGCGACTCGCGACTTTGTGCTCGCGACTCGCGAGATTCTGGGCTGCACTGCGCCATTTTGCGTTTTCGCCTCGTTTGAGCTCGTCTGAACTCGGAATTGAGTTCCGTTTTTTCCTATGTGTCGCTAACGAACCCATCTATCCAGTTATGCTCTCGAAACCAACTTTTCCTGAAGATAAAATTCGCCCGAATCTTTCGACCTACACACCAAAAACGACAAAACACAAAAGAAAACCGGAAAAACAAACAAAAAACACCTAATGACTCAAAATGAAGGAAAACACATAATAAAACACGAAACGGACTAAAAACTAAAGAAAAGACCTAAAACGGGGGGAAAAGAAAGATAAAATAAACACGAAAAATGCAACAAAAATAGGACAAACAGGGAGTATGTATCTTACATAGGCCCTCCTACTTCGAGTTTGATTTGTCGAATTTTGTGTTCATGCTCGTTTCTAGGTTTTAGCTTTATTTCCCTTGCTTGCTTCGTGTGTTGGAAATCGATACATGCTTATCTTGTAAAGGTCTCGACTTTGATTAAAGCAAGATGATTTAGTGTAGAAGGCTCGTGTTAGATTTCCTAGGATTACTATGCTCGCATGTTTTCTCTCGTTTATTTTTCTTGTTCTTGAGTCATGGAGATTTCGGTAGACTAAAGTTTCGATCTTTCTCTCTTTATTTGCATTTTGCATCATTTGCTTAGCGTAATTTCGTGCAATCCAATCCCTTGAAGCGAGCAGAATGTGTAGGACCTTCTTTTTGCTTATGTGATTTTGACGACTAGGTAATAAAATGAAGCTCCGAATAGCCTTCCTTCGAGAACGACCCGAATCCGGATAATTCGGTTACCAACTACCCAAAAATACTACAAATAGTCCATGGGGTGCGAGGAAGGAGAGTGGAGGTGTTGAATCGGATGGAGAGCTACCGCTGTTCGCCGAGGCCCTCGCTATGGCAGGAGCGGTCATTAACCATTTTGATACACGTTTGGTTTATTAGTCGCCTCTGGATCCAGGATGGATCAAATTGAATACTGATGGCGCTTTTGACGTGTCCTCTCGCCTCAGTAGTGCTGGTGGCCTTCTTCGACATGAGATGGGTGGTTGGACTGTGGGTTTTTTTTTATGAATATCGGCTACTATACTATAACTGGGGTCGAGCAACTTGCATGGGATCAGGGCTTTCGCCAAGTTAAGGCTGAGGTAGATGGCCAGTGAGTAATGCAGATGATTAATGGCACCGGTCCCATTTCTGGAGAGCATGAAGCTTTAGTCAAGGCCATTAGGTCTTTGC